TCAGAAATGCTTGCAAGGAGCCTGAGCGTGACTGATAAGGGAGCTGTATAAATCTCTAGCAGCCGCTTGCCAACTCAATTCTGAAACATTCAGCTGATTCCAACTGCAGATTATGACTTTCCTCCAACCATCTCCATTTTCATCTTCTGCTAAAAATATTCATTTACCCAAAGCAGCAGAGAGGCAGCCCAGGACACCCAAACTTTGATAAATCACAGACATTGATTTAATCTCATGCAAGTGAAGCTTCCCGCTGTCCTTTTAAAACAAACAAGGAGGACTCAGAGGCCTGAGTATAATCACTGAATTACAAAGAACAGATGTGAAACATTAACAAGGAAATGCTTATGCTGGCAAGGAGCAAAGACTATAAAACAGCACACACTGTACTGAGCCAGATTGTCTTTTCAATGACTCATACTTATGAGATTACAAACAAGAACGAACAAAAATTAAATGGTTCATTTGACTGGGCCTAATACACTTTAGTTACTTTAAATTAACTGGTAATTGTGCCATTTCTTTTCCTTGTTCTTTTCCTTCTGACTTCTTAGTTGGAATGCCTTGATGAAGGGGAAGTTATTACAAACCCCACACAGCTCCTACCTATGCATTTACCTATCCTAAATTCATGATTAGTGCAAGCATTCCCTTCAAAACATGCGCTTATTTCTGTGAAATGAAGGCACCTCTCTGTCAATTGCCTGTTCAACCTGTTACTACAGTAAGTATGCACAGGATTGATTGATTTATTTTTTTAAACCAGTTCTACAAAGACTTTATCTTGTTCACTCCCTGAGCAGCCTGGGATAGTGGAAGGTGTCCCTGCCCACGACAGGGGGTTGGAATGAGATGAGCTTTAAGGTTCCTTCCTACCCAAACCATTCTGGGATTCTGCAATATTGCCAGACCTGTTTCTCACTGTGCACTGACAGAGAGAGAGAAAAGAAAAGGAGTCGCTACTTTCTGTGTTAATAAGAGAGAGTGTCCAAGCCATATAATGAATAACTTCATACGGATAACAGAGATGAAGAACCACTCTGAGCTACAGGAAAATGAAGGCTCAAATGTAAATAGCAATTGAAATTCATTGTATTTTAATTAATATAAAAAGCAGACTGCCTGCCTCTCATACATACATATTTTCTATTTCTATGCCTGTCCTACAAACATGCCCTCATCTCTTAAGCCACTTCAAGGTTTATTGATCCCATGACTTGGGTTGCAAGAAATGAAAAAGAAATTTCCTTCTGCATGATTTGATGGTCACATCACATTTACAGGAGCTGGACATCAATGATCCCTGTGGGTCCCTTCCAGCTCAGGATATTCTGTGATTCCAATAAAGGAACATGTGGTATGGAGAGATTGGTTCCCATCTTCCTTCATGGTGCCAGGGAGAAAACAGTATCAATTTCATGCACGCAGAACTTTCCCACTTGTCTCTATCACTTTAAGTGCTTCAAGATGTTAATATTATCTCCTGTTACTGCCCAAAACATATAAAAATGAATGTCTTAACTACTTGGTTATAAGAACCCAAGCAAGATTTACACACTCAGTTTGAAAAGAATCATAATCTAGATGGAGCACATTGGGAAACTTCTCCTGCTCCAACTGCTGATAAATGGATCTACTTAGTTTTTTATTAATTTATTTTTTTCCTATTTCTCACAAAGATACCCATATGTTAAAGCAGAATTCCTCATTATGATCATCTTGTATTAACTTTTTGAGAGCACTGGGGACAGATTTTCTTCCTGTTATCCACTGGGAACAAGAAAAACAGAGGCGGTGAATGCCTTAATTTTTTACAATAGCCACTGGTGGGGGAATCATTTGGTAAATTCAGCACATCATCATTTGGTAAATTCTGGCAGTGATTATTTCAGTGTAACTATTAAAAAAATCAGGCTTTATTTGCAATCAGTCTCTCAGGCTCCCATTTAAGAGGTCTCCTTGTGCCTTCATCTCCCAGAGTGAAGAGTCCTTCAGTATCACAAGACCCCTAAGCACTCATGCCCACAGAAGTTGAATTAAATCACTTCATGCCTTTTTTCCTTCAACAAAATGGATAATTCATTTTTGTCTTACAGCAAATTGAGCACCCTCAAATCACTTCTGTGTCTCTTTCCACCACAATGCTGAAATTACAATCAGATTTTCCAGCCTAGGAATGATCTTGCTACTCCTTCCTATGAAAATATCCTCACTTGTGGGGCCAGGCTGATACTGCCCTGTATTTATTTAGTGTTATTACATATATCCACATAGGCCTGTTCTTAAGACCACTAGAGAAATTACAGACAGTTTTGACTGGTTACAGCCTTTTAGACCGATACATTTTGGGCAATAAGGGAATTAATAGATCATGATGTTTCTTCTTTGTAAAGAAGAACACTGATCAACTCTCCAGTTGAGAACTGGAGGAAAACTCACTTTACCAACCTGAGGAAGCAGCACAGGGAAGAGACATATGGTGATGCAAAGAAAGGAGCAGCTGGAAGAAAAACCCTGAAGTAAAACCCCTGTTCTGTTTCACTGTTTAATCACATTTATGGTTAAGAGTAAGAACCAGCATCTCAGAGCCTAATTATGGCCCTAGTGAGGAACTCCACTGCCCTGTATTGCACAAAGGCTCCTTTACCCTTCCCAATCCAAATCCTGATATTCATAATCCTATTTGAACAGAGTTTTAAAATTCATCATTTGTGTTCAAATTTGGAAGAAATTTTGAAATAAAATGGCAAGAAAAAAAATACAAAAAAGCAACCTCCCAGCTGTGGTGGACTTCCCAGCTCAATTTCAATGCCAAGTTTTTTAATTTGCTCAAGGCTAAGAGAGCCTGAACACTTCACATTTCAGTGTTTCTGCAGCTCCTTTCACACCTAAGCTGCAGTAAAATGCACAGAATGATGGCAGCACCTGCGTTGTTCAGGCTACATTTTCCCTACTGGCACAAATGCACTCTGCCATTCAAAGACCATACCAAGATGGCAAATTTCCCAAATCACACTCTTATTCTCTCCCATCTATTTGACAGAAAAGATGATTAAAACCCACTGTTGGAACAATAACAGAACATTCCACCTTGTACAAGGAAAAGAATTGATGTACAAAGACCAGAGAGAAATGGAAAACATTAAAAAACAAATGTTAAAAAAATTAAAATGCTCTACTAACAAATTGGTTTTTGCAGAGAGGTCCACAGGGCATGAACATTCAGGGATCACAGCACTGATTTTCTCACAGAAGCAGAACAGTTATTTACAGTCATTGGGATCCTTCAGCACACTGAATTATGCAGCTGGCAAAGCACAAGACAAGAAAAAGTAGGTGCTGTGTCCATCAAGGCCATGGACATAAGGTATAAAAAAAATACAGTAGTTGAGACATTAAATTGCTAACAAATATTCCTTTTTATGAGAAGGTACCAGGGAGAATTACAAAACCCCTCATGAAATGAGGATGTGTTCTAAATGTTTCATATGACAATTCCTGAAGCAGAAAAGATATGAAAACTTATTTTTACTGTGTTACCCTGCAGAGTCTGAAAGAAAAGGCTCATAAAGCACCAGGCCAAGCAATCTGCATGAACTACCTGGAGTGTGGCCACAATAGGGGACATCACCTTCAGGCAGCCCAGAAATCAAGTGTGGGGAACATGACAATCAAACTGGGTCACTTCTGCTAAAGTACCCTGTGTGCTTCCTTTATCCACCTTTTCCTGCTCTAGACCACCAAATGGTTTCAGAAAAAGATGAATAATTTGGCTGATCATGTGAACTTTGAGAGGAATACCTGCTAAATCCCATCCCCAGCAAGGGGAGCACATGGCACAGATCCTCCACCCTGGGGATGCGTTTAACAGCAGGGAGCTGAAGGACACCAGTCTCTGGAAGCACCACTCTGCCAACCAACAACATCCATCTCACCAAACAGACAGCTTAAGCCCAGACCTGACTTTGTTTCTAGGATATTATTCCCAGAGAGCCAAAGGAGATGCACAGCAAGCAGCACAGCTGATGGACAATGCTGTGCCAGGCCCTGAGAATTCAGCACTGTCTTAGCCTTGCAGATGTTTTCGAAGCAGTGATGTGCCCTGAGACAGCCAGGGGGGAGGACAGATTCTGTCTCTGCAGGGTCAAGCCTTCCTGGCACCAAAAATCATGTCACTTCTCAGTGACCAGCTCAGAGGCCAAGAAAAATCTGTTTCATCAACTGCTCTTTTTAGAAGAGAACAGTGTGTTTCCTGCTGTGGCTGGAATATGTGGAATAATCACAGTTACCCTTTGCCAAGGGTGATTTCCATGGTCTGAAACACAGCCTCCTCATGAATTCTGTGGTAATCAAATTCTTTTTTGTCTGTTTATGTTCTTTATTTATGGAGGAGCATTACCAGCATGAGTAATTCAGCTGGGCTGGGACAGAGTAGTCAGGCAGGATGAGAAGGAATGACAGATAGGAATAATTGGTACAACAAATTGGCACATTCCAGCTCCAGTTCAGGCTATGCTGAGATCAAGTCCATGCATCCCAAATTTACCCAGAAGCTGAGCATCCCTGACTAACATCATCCTGAGGAACAAGGAAAGAAGTGTGAAGCTGTTCCTGTTTGCACCTGACCAGGCATAATATGAATTCTTAGATTACTCAGGCAGAACCAGCCTTTAAATCACACTGTCCACCGTGGCTGGGGGACACAGGTGGCCTTGGAAATATCAGCTGCCCCTGCAGCAGGATTCTCTCCCTGGAAATGTGGTCAAACAACTCCAACACTTTGCAAGGCTATGAGTGGTGGGCTGAGAGGGGCATTGTGTGCTGCTTGTGGTGTTGAATTGTGTTAAGATCAGTCTGGCTTATCTTGATAGAGAGGTAAAGATGTGGCAGATTAGGTGAAATATTGTCTAAAATTGCTAAGCTGACCCAGCTGACCTGGAGACATGTGACAGATGCCAGCCCTATAAAAGCCCAGTCCACTTTCCCTAGAGTAGGTTCTTTAACATATTCCTCCTTGGAGTGCTCAGAGATTCCTCCCTTGGGTTTTGGGGACAGTCCCCAAGGACACCCCTCAAGGCTGAGTGAAAGAGATTTGCCTGTGATCATTGGTCTGGGTGAGTTACATCAACCTCTGAGAATTGTTTCTTTTTGCTTGTTTTAATGTAATTGCTTTAATATTGCTTTGCTATTGTGCACTACCCAATCTTATACTATAATAATAGTTTTAGCTTTTATACTGTGTAATAAATAATTCTGATTGAGTTCTTTTTGTCTAATCATTTATCATAATAAGCAATTCATTTTTATATAAACAGATCTGATTTGCCATCATTAATCCTGCAGGACAAAGTGACTTAAACCATTGACCAAGTCTGGGTCTAAGACTGGATCCAGCCACCCTCAGGCTCCCCTTGGAGGAGGAATTTAGAAATCCAAGGGGGTCCTTTCTGCACCTTATGACTAACCAGGAGCTTCTCTCAAGCTTTGAAGCTCCCTCTCCACCCACGACAGCCCCTCCTCACTGTTCCCTTCTGCTGCCAAACAATCATTGAAGAGACTAAAAACTTCTCTGCCCCAAGCAAGCTCAGGAAAGGAAAAAAATCAACATTTCTGTCTTGCTTGCAGTGACACAAAGTGTTATTTCTCTTCCATCACAGGGAGTTAAAAAGGAGAAGGATGCGCAGGAGCTGTGGTACCTCCTCTGCCTGGCCCTGGCTCTGAGTGAGCATCAGGGATGCAGACACAGACTGGAGTTCCCCATATTTGCTTCTCTGCAATTCTCACTCCTTTGACCCTTTATGCCTGGATATAGATATAGCCCTGGCAAGTTTCCCAGGTTACAGATGTCTCATCTTCCTCAAGTCTTAGAGAGAATGTTTGAAGAACAGAATTTCACAGTGGACTGGTATTTGTAATACAAACACCAGGCAATAATCGTATTTATATATTTATATACACACACATATCCACTGCAACAAATTCTGCTCAGCTGAACAGCAGGTTCTGTTTACCAGCTCAAATGTGGAGCTCAGCTGCAGCACCGGTCATGCTCCCACACCCGAGAGATGAATATCAAGTGTTCGATATTCTTTGTGTCCTGCTTTTTTGTCTCTGAGAAGAAGGATGTTTATGTTCTACTATAATCAAAATAAGTTCAAGACTCCTAACAAACCTGAAAAGGTGATGGAAATATGTAACAGAAACTAAGAAATAGCATAATGAACACTTAATTCCAGCAGAAGAAAAGAACAAAGCACACATCTCTTTCTTTCTGCATATGGAACTACAGAAATGTGCAGAACTTGCGTTGTCTACTAAAAAAAAAATGTTTATTATCTACAATCCTGCATTTCCCAGAATGGTTTGGGTTGGAAGGGACCTTAAAGCCTATCCCATCCCACCCCCTGCCATGGGCAGGGACACCTTCCACTGTCCCAGGCTGCTCCAAGCCCCAAAGTCCAGCCTGGCCTTGGGCACTTCCAGGGATCCAGGGGCAGCCACAGCTGCTCTGGGCACCCTGTGCCAGGGCCTGCCCACCCTCCCAGGGAACAATTCCTTCCCAATATCCCATCTATCCCTGCCCTCTGGCACTGGGAAGCCATTTCCCCTTATCCTGTCACTTAAGGTTCTTGTGATAAGTCCCTCTCCAACTCTCTTGGGAGCCCTTCAGGTTACTTCAAACTGTCTTTGGAGGCTTGGCAAAGTTCAATAATACCTACCACTAGTAGCAATAATATCAATAACCTCAAACTTCCATCATGAATAGTATGAACCAATGAAAGCAGTCTCAAATATTTAATGTTTGCTGGGAAAACCTTCCCCAGAAGATCATTAACAAAATGTTAATCTCCACTTAATGCTTTACAACATCAGCCATTAATAAATTATGTGTACATCAGGAATTAACTTATTTAATTAATATTATTTAGCATAATTGTCTCAAATGACACATGCCATTCCCAAATATTTTCAGCAAGGGACTTCTTTTTTTTTGTTGAGGGGGTGAGTTTTTCAATAAGGTTGGTTTGCTACTGTTGGTTGGTGCTTTGAGGTTTGGGGTTTTTTTGTTTGTTTTTTGGGGGGTTTTTTGTTGGTTGGGGTTTTTTAGGCTTGGGATGGGAACACAGATATCCACACTTTTGGAGTGCAACCAGCCCATCTGATGGATTCTGTAATTTCTAATGCTAGAAATTCTTTGGCATGAACAATTTTCACAAATTGATCTGTATTTAGCTAGGATAGCAACGACAGAAAGCACATCTATTTTAGAATGAAATTCCAAGTGCCATCAAGAGCTGTCTTTGAGGAAGATGAGCCAAACCAGCTCCAGGTCTCATCATGCCACACATATGATTCTCATTCCTGAATATTACTCTTCTCTGCTAAAGCAGACACAGATTTGAAAATAAAACTCACTTCTGGTGACAAAGACTGCCACCAGAAAAAAGCTTAATTAATGCCTATTCCCAACTCACAAGGTGTTTGAAGCCTTCCTGGTTGTGGGAGGCCTCAAGAAAGCCCTTTAGCCCATCTTGCTAATCAGGAAATCAAAATTTTTTTTCAATAATTCTCATTACTAGGAGGGAAGGCTTCTTTAGCTAGGGACCTCTCCTCACAGACTAGATTGGCCTCAGTTGTTCCACAGAGGATTCATGGCTCTGTGTGCTGAAAACAATGCAATTGATGCAATTAACACATTTAAATTGAGCTCTAATTTTTTAAGATACTTCAAGTAACACATTCTAATTTAGCTCTGATTTTTTTTAGGTTACATCAAGCAACAGCAATGCCACATCTGAGGCTTAGGACCTGAAATACACCATTCCTCTGGTTGCCACAGCAAGTCCCAAGCAGCGGGGAATTACAGCAGCTGGGAATTCTGCCATGGAGGTGAGGAAAGGTTCACCTGGGGTTGATCCCAGCTCCCACCCACTGGCCAGGCAGTAGCTCAGAACCTGTCAGTTCAGCTCACTGCTGAAGCTCCTGCAGCCCTCCATGCACACACTGTGGGGTTCCAGGCATCTGTGGAGTGGTTATTCCCCACCACACCGGTGGAGCAGAGCTTTTCCTGACACCTCAAAACACACAGAAGGGCTCCTCTTGCTTTTGTACCCACCAAACAGCCCATGGTTGAAGAATTCTCCTAAACTGTTCCAGGTCTAAACAATTTGGCCACTGCACACAACAGGAGGAACAAATTAGGACAGCTCCAAGATTAATTTTTGCATGTCATTATTAATAGCAAGCAATGCTGGCAGTTACTCACTGCAGCCTGTGGGGAAAATTTCTCTTGGGCAATAACTCCAGACATTGCTGAAAAATCTGAAACATTGCACACAGCATGAAAATATTGAACTTGCCTCTCTTTCTGCAAACAGACTAAAAGGAATTATCAAGGACTCCACTGGTGAGAAACAACAGTTTGTGATATACAATGCCACAGAACACCAGGTAGTAACAACAGAAGAAAAGGAAATCTGCTGTTTGCTTTCACTGCTTGCAGACTCAGAAGTTGCTGGTGAGAAAAAGTGCTGACAATTTCGGCATTGGGTTTGTCCACAATGGAAATTCTCATTAAAATAATAAAACTCAGAACAGAGAAGACAGAATCCCAGAATTGCTGAGGCTGGAAAAGCCCTCCAGGATCACCAAGTCCAAGCTGTGCCCGATCCCCACCTTGTCCCCAGCCCAGAGCACTGAGTGCCACGTCCAGCCCTTCCCTGGACACCTCCAGGCATGGGGACTCCAAAGCTCCCTGGGCAGCCCCTGCCAAGGCCTGAGCTCCCTTGCCATGGAGAAATTCCTCCTGGTGTCCAAGCTGAGCCTCCCCTGGCACAGCTTGAGGCCGTTTCCCCTTGTCCTGTCCCTGTTCCCTGGCAGCAGAGCCCGACCCCCCCTGGCTGTCCCCTCCTGTCAGAAAAACATTGAGGAAGCCAACAGAGCAAGCAGCTGGACAGAGATGTCCAACAGCATGCTCCAGGAAGAAGCAAACGAGAGGCTGGCTATGGGAAAGCTCTAAGCATTGAAAAAATAAAACAAAAAAACCAAAAAACATTACCCTTTGACTTTATCAAGACTGGGAGCAAGGGACAGAACAATACAGAGCAATGCCATCTAAATTTACTGAAAATTTTCCCCACTGTTAAATCAGAACATAAAATGTATTACTTTTTATAGAAAAGTATGGCTCAATGTCCTCTAAATGATCTTTCAAATAAAAATAAAAATTAAAAAAAATAAATTAAAAAGCCTGTTCTAGAAGAGGACTTGTCACTCATTACATTCAGCTCTCTGAAATTCTTCCTGGCTGAAAATTACTATAAAAATGATACAATATGGGGGTTTTGGTGACTTATAACAAGACAATAACTTTACTTTTCAGACAGGTGAGAACCATTTTCCTATCTTTGCTGCAACATTCCTGCAGTAAACAGAAATTTTCAGCAGCATGCACTCGGCATAAAAAGCAAAATCATCCAATAAAACCAGACATCTAACAACAGAAGTGGTGGAGTATTAATTCTTTCATGCAAAGGTATGAAAGAGACTTTTGCCTACCAAAATTTTAATTTCAAACAAGCAGCAATGGAAATTTTGTGGACTAACAGATGTTTAACAGATCATAAAAACCAGCCATACTTTACTGCCATCAAAACCATCAGTGCTTGAAAAGGTGCTTCCACAAGGAAGGATTCTCCCCAGATGTGCCCAGGGAATGACTTTTTAGGTAATGGTGGAGGTTAAAACCCACCTCTGTCACTGCAATCCCAAATCCCACTGCCTGGGACACGGACAAGCAGTTAGGGAGAAGCACATTTACCCTGAAGGCATCACTGCAGGGGCAGCTACAGAGCACCAAAGGTGTCCCCGGATCCGCATTTATAAACTGTTGTCGTGGAGTTACTTTACCTTTAAGGAAGTTGAACTGCCTGGAGTCTTTTCTCCTGACCAATTATCGGTCACTGCTGAGAATTGACAGCAGTTTAGGCCATTGAAAAGTGGGATCAACTTGTGAACCCTGCCTTAAAGTGTAAAAGCAGAGCTCTCTGGGCTCTCTTTGTTTCCTGGCTGTGGAGGGTGGCGGAGCTCCAGGCCTCCCGTCCCTGCCCAGGCCATGTTGGGAGATTTGAAGCCTTGAGAGACAATGAGAAAACTGTTGGGAGATTTGAAGCCTTGAGAGACAATGAGAAAACTGTTTTCTGGTGAAGCTCACAGAAACAGATGAAGAAGACTTTTTTGCCTTTGAATAACTTATCCTTAAAAATGCCATCCCTAGACTCATGGCCCATACACACTTCAGAGTGATGTGAAAATGGGAGGAGTGAACTCTAATAATAGCAGCTCTGGGCAGCTAACATTAGGGCAATGGAAAACTATAACAAAAATAGTTTTCTTGTGAGAAACTCCATAAATTAACAGGAAGAAACTTCTGTTTCTCTACAAAGACTGGTGAAAAGACTGTGGCAAGAATTGGGACTGTTTTAACCATCAAAGTTCCAAGGGTTTTGTCTCTGTTGTCATGTGAACAAGGGAATAGTGGGTAGATAGGGGATGAAAAGCTTTTTCTGGAAGTTTATTCTGGTGTTCTTATTATTGTAGTTTGTCAATAAACTTTCTTTTTTTTCTTTTAAGTTTTACACCTGTTTTGCTCTTGTTCTAATCCATATCTCACAGCAAAAAATAGGTAATTTTCTTAGTTATTGGTTTAAAACCATGACAACTGTGAAGTCGGTATTAACTTGATGTCCTATGGAATCATCTGTGCCAACCTCCCTGGTTTAACGCAGCAGTTAAAACACAGAACTCACACTGGCCAGAAGTATAAATTACACTTGTAAACTTGGTCCTTGGGATCCATGAGATCAAACACACATCCTGGGCCAGGCTCTTCCCACACGAAGAACACATCAAGGCAGGGAGAGAAATCTGTAATCTAGTGCTGAGTTAACCAGGTTTGGGTGAAAAAGAGAGCAGAAATATTCCCATTCAATGTCTGTACTTCCAAACAGAGACAATCAGCAGCCTGCCAAACAGAGCCCGAAAGGGTGGCAGGGCCAGGGCCTCTCTGCCTCTTGGAACCTTTTCCTGAGCAGTCTCAACCCTGAGGTTGTCAAAATGATTGCAAGGCAGATGCTCCTGCTGCAGAAATCCCCCAGGTTACCTGGCTCTGCATTCTCAGGCCTCCTGCTAGACAAGAGTCACACTCAAAGGAGATCTGGAACCATTCCAAATGCATTCCCTCTCTCCTGGGAGCAGCTCTATGAGGTCCCACAGCACTGGCCATAAGGACCCTTCTTGGCCTAATTAGGATTTTGACATTACTGACAATATCAGACTTTGATCATCACATCACCAGAGCAGGGTTTCAGGACTTGTCAAAGGGAGGTAGTGACACTCACCCTGAGAAATATATTTTTCAGAAAACATTAAGCATAAACCTTACATTGACTTCCATGGCACTAAACCAGCTGCATTGGCAGGAGAGAAAACAGTCAAAGACAGAGTGTTAGAGCTGGGGCTCTAACAGCATCCTCTTTGCCCTCAAAACTCATTAAATCCATTTTTAAAATTTCTACCTTTCTGTCAGTTGAGGTTGGAATGGTCCAATGTATTCAAAATCTATCAGTGTGAGGGGGAGAAATGAAAACAGGTAAGGACAACAGGAGGCTGCATGATCACATAAGTTGTATTTCCACAGAAATAATAAACCAGGAGACCATGAGGGAGGAAAAACAGACCACAGGGAAATAGACTGGACAGAAATCATCCTATTAAATCAGTTTTGTTACGAACAGGGTGAGCTTGAGGCCTGTTGATGTCTGAGACCTATGCTATGGACTTATCTGAAATTGAACCTGTACAGCTGAAAGAATAAATTTGAATCTAGTGGTTTGCCAGTCAAAAGAAATCACATTTTTTTGGCTTCGGATCCCAATGAACTTATATTGTTCGCTGTCAAGTTATACAGAAAAAAAATACATCAGAAGTCTGACAAAATTAGATAAGATCTTTAGGTCTCAATTAATGCTCAACTGAAATTTTTTCCGAAGCTTTATTGGCCTGATTTTTACATCAAATAACCTATGACATGGAACTGAAAATTCAAAAGAAATGGTAAAATAATTCCATGACTTGGTGTTAATGCCAAGCATATCAGTACAGCAGCAAGGATAAGAAGTCAGACTTCCCCAATCCAGACAAATCAAATCCTCTTCTTTTTTAGCTCTCAAATGGAAGCCAAACTCCCCTTTCAGAGGAAAAAAGTGTTGCTACCACACACATAAATTAATGGTCATCCTCAGTCTGCTCCAGATTCCCCACACTGAAGCTTTCAAGGAAATGATCAACTTGCCTTATCATGAGCACCTTCCTGCTCCAAAGGCTGAAAAGAAGAACAACTATTGGAAAACATAAAACAAAACCAAAAGAAGTAGTATTATATCCTAAAACTAATGAATGCTCCCTTTCTTTTAACTGAGACATCTCTCTTCACCTTGCAACAAAAAAATCCTCAAAACACCCAGATTGAAGGAAAAGCTAAAAGGAAAAGCAAAGGAAAAATCCCAAATTTTTAATCATGGATCCATAGACCTCAGAAGAAATAGCATGAAATGTAGCAATAGTTTATTGTTACTTTCTTCCCCCTTTCTTCATGCTTCACTAAGCACATGCACAGAGCTTGTTTTACTAAAAAAAAAGGAAAAATAAAAATACCAAAAGACCAACAATAAAACATGCTGAGTTTTCAGGAGATTTATATACTTCTGTTTCACTGATTTTGACAATGTTTCCTATAAAAAGGGGCACAGATTATAGAAAAGGCCTCTAGGGCTTACCAAAATGACTCATCCTACTTGGTTAATAACTAGTAATTATTATAACAGATATAATAATAATAACCACAATAATAATAGTAATAATAGCAATAACAACAGCAATAATAACTTCCTTTTTGACAAAGTATCAGTTTAGCAAACACACCTTTTAACAGTTATTCTACCAAAACAATAAATGATTGCTAATATCTGTGTCTATATAAATGCCCTAAGAGCAGATTTAACAAAAAAGCAAGCAAAACCCATTTTTTTCCTCCATGAAAAAAGGCTGCAATCTTTAGGATGACACAAGTGACAAGAAATGGTGCAGGAGGTTATGTGGGTTTTAATGGGGATCATCATTCTAAAGCAGCCAAAATGGAGCTGAAGTCATTTAAGAGCCCAGTAAAACAGGAGGAAAACGCCAGTGATGGACCAGTCAAACCCAGCTGTGACCTGTAAAACATCACCAGGGCAGAAAGGGTTTGTGTTGGCTTTCCCCAGAGAGCTGATGACAAACACCTCATCAGGTGTTACAACCTTTCCCAAAGTTAACTCTGGGAAAGTGTCCCTTCTGTCTCTCCCTAAGTCCTGCCACATTGCTAACATCTGGACAATATACACATATTTCCAAAACAAAGGCAGGTTCAGAACATTGCAAACTCAGATTTATTTGGGAAAAATTATGTCCAAGTGCTGCAGCAGTTTAAATTGCAGTTCTCCAAAATGCAAACATTCACCCAAAGCAGAGCTCTGCCAAAGAGCCTTTAAGCCTAATTAAAGAAATTGCTGGGATACTACCTCT